CACAAATTCAAAATGGATTAAAGACCTGAATGTAAGACCCAAAACCATAAAACTCCTAGAAACAAATACAGGGAGTAAATTGGCAGACATTACCCTGAGTAATGTTTTTACTGATATATCCCCTCAGGCAAGAAAAATAAAAGAAAAAATAAACCTATGGGATTACATCAAACTAAAGTTTTTTTCACAGCAAAGGAAACCATCAATAAAACAAAAAGGCAGCCTATTAAATGGGAGAAGATATTTGTCAATGATATATCTGATAAGGGGTTAATATCCAAAATTTATAAAACACTCATTCAACTCAACACCAAAATACAAACAACCCAATTAAAAAATGGCCAGAGAATATGAAGAGACATTTCTCTAAAGAGGACATACAGATGGCCAGCAGACATATGAAAAAATGCTCAACCTCACTAATAGAGAAATGCAAATAAAAACCACAATGAGATACCAACCATCTCACTCCAGTCAGAATGGCTATCATCAATAAATCAACAAACAACAAATGCTGGCGAGGTTGTGGGGAAAAGGGAACCCTGGTGCACTATTGGTAGGACTGCAGATTGGTGTAACCACTATGGAAATCAGTATGATGTATCTCAAAAAACTGGAAATGGAACTACCTTATGACCCAGCAATTCCACTCTTAGGTATCTATCCAGGGAAAGCCAACGTGCTAATTATAAAAAAAATACATGCACCTCTATGTTTACTGCAGCGCTATTTACAATAGCCAAGACTTGGAAACAACCGAAATGTCCATCAGTAGACAACTGGATTAAGAAGCTGTGGTACATTTATACANGAAAGGATGAAAAAAGATGTACCACAGAAACAAAAAAACTAAACTGAAAGAAAGCTGATATAGCATTCTAATATCAGACAAGTATATTACAATAAAGTATCATTAAACATAAAGAGACATAAACATACTTCCTAAGAATAAAATGTCACTGTATCAGCAATATGGTGGCCTTAAACCATATAAGCAAAAGTTGATCACAGTAACTGATAGAACAAGTAAGCAAAAAACTCAGTAGTCATTTATTAGAAGAAATGAACAGAACTAATAAATGTGGCTTAATTATTACAGACAGACCATTACACCCAACTATTGCAAATTATATTCTTTTCTTATATACATGGAACATTTTCACAAACTGACCATAGACTAGGCCATAAAGAAACTCTTGACAAATTTCAAAAATCTGAAATCATGCAGGAAATGTAATTATAGCATTATGTTTCTTATTAGTAAAAATACCATCTATATGTGTACATAAGGTGGTTAGTGGAGAAATGCATTAATTCTTTGTATCTTATACCACTTGTACAAGCAATCATCCTTCTAAAATTCTTTAGCACAAGACCATTAATACATAAAAAGTAACCTATTCTGGTGGGAAAATGCTAAACTAGAGAGTATATTTACGTAAGAAAAAAAATCAATTTTTGAAAGCTTTAAATTTCTGAGAGAAAGCTTAAAACGTTATTTTTACACTGCTCACTTCTCCCAGGACTTCCAGTACCACTGGACATTCATAAATATGAAAAGTATAAATTAAGACGGAACTATTAAAATAAGTAACAAACCTACTATATTTCACTGGATCTTAGACACCATCAATTTTAGGAGGTATACCAATTTCAGAGATGCTAATATGTGAAAAAAAATATGTCAGAATACATGAAAATATGGTTGGTTTTTATTTCAAATTACTTTTTTGAAATACAAAAGTGTGTGTGTGTGAAAATGTAGATGACCTAAACCTAACCGATTACAATTACAAACTCCAAAGAGAGACTTCAAAAGAGGATGGCTTACAATTTCTGATTACAAAGCATTTGAAACAATTATATTCACTACCTGGGTAATCTTTTTGACAAGTGTTAGTAATCTCCAGTTTCACTTAACAAAAATTCATTCTTTCAGCATTAGAACAGAGTTGAAAGACTAACTATTGAAGTCAATAATGGCCTTGATATTCCCGTTTAGCCAACATCCTGTACGTCTTTTCTCTTTTTTGCTGAACTACTAGAAAGGGTAATTCATATTCATTCTTTCAACATCCCCAACTCTCATTAACTCTTGACCAACTGCAATCCAGATATTTTTCATTATGAAATAGTTAATCATTTTTAATGTTCAATAAAAACAACAGCTAAGAATGAATACACATGCATTTCTGTGTATTTTATTAAAATAGTAAATGTTTAAAGAAACATAGACTATATACTTATTAGTTTAGTTTCATAAATCAATCAGAAATGTGCATTTTAGAAATTGTGGCTCTCGTAACACGACAGCGAAAAATATTATCAATTTAACTAAATGTAACATTTGGTAAGAACCTACCATGAAATGGCAGCATGTTAAGTGTCTTCACATTTATTATCTTGTTTTAATTCTCACAGACACCCTGATGGCTAGAGCTAGGCCCAGCTCTAGTGATCTATCAATCACTAAAGAAACTGATCCTCTAAGATTACAAAAGGACTCAATAGTTGTATTAGCTTGAACAAGTTGTTGAATAGTATTTGGACCCAGCTCTTCAGGTTCTAAATCATGCTTCACAGTTTCTGTGGTATACATGGATTAACATATTAATTACTTCACAAGTTAAATGTTTCAGTTTAAGTTTTTTTGTGTGTTGTTGTTTTTTTTAATTGGGGAACAGTGTGTTTTCTCCAGGACCCATTAGCTCCAAGTCAAGTAGTTATTTCAATCTAGTTGTGGAGGGCACACCTCAGTGGCCTGATGGCAATCAAACCAGCAACTGTGGTGTTATAAGCACTGCGCCCTGTGCTCTAACCACCTGAACCAACCGGCCGTCCCTGTTTCTGTTTAGTTTTGCAAATAAAATAGACAAATGATCATTCTAGTTCAAATCTATTAAATTCAATAAGAACTTGATATATCCCATGAAAGAATTAAGAAATTTTTTTAAAAATGTATATTACCCGGGTAGTCAAGCAGCTCACAGTGAAATCAACACTTTCATACATGAAAACAATGAACTACACATGAGATGTATAAAAATGTGCTAACCAACCAGTCACCCACCTCAAACGCTTATAAGCAAATAGCACTCTTAGCGGCTACAGTAACATGGGAAAGCTTAGTAGACTATTATTCTGNTACTTTGAGGAGGAGGAGTGATAGAAAAGAACAAGTCAAAAACGACCATCAGGGGCCGGCCAAGTGGCGTGTTGGTTAAGAATTAGCTTGGGACACCAGCTCTGATCAGCAGGGCCCTGGTTCGGATCCCACATGCGGGCCAGTGACGCTGTGCCCGCTGCAGCTGGGATGGTGAACGGCAGCTCGACCTGGAGCTCGGCTGCCATGGGTCTCGGACGATGGCGTAGGCTGCAGTGGGGCTGGCCGGCAGCTGGCATGTGCTTTCATGGGCTGCTGTGAGCTGCCATGAATGACTCATGGCCAGCGAGCAACTGCCTCACCCGGGAAGAGCACAATGATAATGCCAACATGGGCCAGTGAAGTGACGTCCTCCACAGCTGGACTAAGGAACAAAAGTGACAGCAACTTATCTGTTCCCCTTCCCCAATTCCCCAACGCTGTTCCCCTCCCCCAGTTCCCCAATAAAATCTTTTTTAAAAAAATGACCATCAGGTCTGCCTTGGACAAATAAATGGCAAGCAGTGTGCTAGAATAAAGAGACACACAGATGAGGTATAAGGCCTGGGAGCAGGATAGTTTTAAAGCCACTTATCCAGAATGGCACAGGAAGGGATAGATGATAACTGTTAAGAAAGGACAAGAGTCAGCTGGCCTTAAAATCCTCAAATCATTAATGGTACAAATCCTTGGAGTCACCTAATTTTCTTCAACAGCATTAACTGGTTTGGTCATAGAAAAAAGAAAAAAAAATGTACGAGGACTGGGGAAGAGCACAGAAGATGTGATACAAAACCAAGGATACGATGAGGCAGGAAACACAACCTATTACATTTATGGAAAGCCTTTTCTATAGAGAAATCAAAATTTAAGTGGCAATCTTCCTCTTCAACCTAAGAAATATTTGCTCATGTTAAGAAAGAAAATAGAATGCTTTTCTGTTTCACAGAAGGAAAATCTGTGAGTGAAAACCACTTAAGATAGGTCTGCCTTTACTTTAACACCTTTTAATTTACAGTTTACATGCTGTGGCTATCAAAGGAAGGGTTCCATCCACAAAGATAAAGGTCGGATCCCTGAAGGAATGCAAACTTGGGGGGAGGATTCACTTTTTTTCTGTAGGAACACTAAGGTGCTGGAAGATTACATGTGCCAAATTCCAGGCTGTCTAACTTTAATTGATATAAGGTGCATAATAATTACTGAGAGNTACTTCCCACTCTCTTCATTTTAAGAATAAAACAGAAAGAGATTTAACAGGAAAATGGAGCCAGAGAAGGAAGTCAATGACAGAAATTTTAAGCAATCTGATTGATTTTTTAAAAATTACTGACATTTCGACAGATGCAAGATACATTTACTAATTGTTTTCTAGGCATCTAGGCACATATATTACTATATGATATAACATAATTGGAAAAGTCTTAGGAAAATGAAAAAAATTGATATATTATTTTGGATATATATCTTAGTATTTGTGTAAAATTGTTCAGTGGCTAAGTATTATTGTAGAACACTATGTTAAGAGGCTTTACTATTATAGCTCAATCATATTCTTTTGAGTATTTGATTCAAAGGAAATGATACGGTTTACTGTCATCCTTTCCCTTTCATTTCAAATTCTCAGGATATTGTTCTAAAAATTAAAAGTTGAAAGACGACTTTCATGATATGTCCTTCCTTCAAAAATCTTAACACAATTGGAACCATGATCTTAGGACCTATATTCATTCATCAACTATATGACTAAGTAAATGTACATTGTTTATGACTTTTTAAAAATCATGCTATCAAATTTTTAAGTGTGGTGATCAAATAAAAGCATCCATCATTTCTGAAAAGACAGTAAGGTTCTTACCTACAAGCAACATTTGGATCAGCATTTCTTGAAAGTAGCAGCTCCACACACTTCAAGATCCGTTCCTCTGAGCCACGAGCAGAACATGCGGTTATCAAAACTGTTTGCTTATCTATAGAATAGAAAAGCAAGGAACCCCCGCACATCAATAACTGTATCTAACTGACTTCTTTTACCATTCAAAAGATTCTAAATTATTTACTGCACTTTTAAAATTCTATAACCTATTCCCAAATCTCTTGCTTTTTAGCAGGTAAGTTTATGTCTTCCATCATCAAAAAATTAGATTAGGGATGAACTGCCTTAATCTTCAAATTATATCTATAATTCATTTCTTAATTTCCTTTCCTTATTCCTTAAAGACATTAGGAAGGTAGTTAAGAGCATGGACTCTGGAGAAATACTTCCCAGAGTTGAACACTTTTTGGTTGATTAAAATTTGCCTTGCTGAACTCATGGTTGAGAAACAATGATTGATGCTCTGATTTAAATTCTTTACTTCTCATTCATTTGGTAACTCACTGATCTGGCTTATGCCATCCACAGAAAATAACCTAACTGCCACATCTATTGGTTTCTTTTCAGTCCTTTTCTACTTGACCTCTCTTAGCTCACCCTGTTTACTAAAACTCGTTTTCCCTTGGCTCATACAGCATCAGTAGAGATCAGGGTAGATTAAAACAACAACAACAATACTTCTTAAGTAAGAATTTGGAAATTCAAAATAGGTCATGGGAGCCATGGTTTACATTTAGTGGTTCAATACTGACTGAGTATANTATATATATATATATATATATACTATGTTATATATACCCTTTTTAAAGGCTTGTTATTACTCTAACAATAAAAATGGCTTGCTGAAGCAAAACGAACAACAAACACCAAGTGTGACTTCCCAAAAAACAGTTCAGTAGGTCAAACGAACAAGCAGATAGTTACAGCTATCTGAGGAACTGACACAAGGGCTGTCTCCAGCTTAACTGGGAACTCAAGCTTTAAAAAGTTGGCATTGTTCAAAAAGACTGCAAACCTCAGATGCCTGGGGCAAAAGTTTACAGTCAAAAATACTAAATTCTACACTTAATAATGGTTAAAATGGAGCATTTTATTATCTATATATTTTTTACCACAATAAAAATATTTCCAAAAGAACAAAAGAGGGTTAGGTGAGGGAGAGAAAGGGATAGGCAGAACTTAATAGTTTTATGGAAACTCTGGAGGAAAAACAACACGAAGGAATCTGGGGAGGGTGCAGGAAAAGAGTGAGATGAAAACCCCTGGGCAAGACAAGCCAAGGGGCTGGCCAGGTGCTGGACCTCAGACCAGGAGCTGCTCAGGCAGAGAAATGTGCACGCTGTTGTCAGCATTCACACTGCCTCAGCACACAGCCTGAACGTGCTTTTAGTTCTGCCTACTGAATGTTCTAACAACTTATAGCCTTTCGTGTATGATTCTGTTTTTGCTCTCAATTCCCAGAGCAATCAATTTTATGCCTTATTGAGCCAGCTTTTTTTCTTTTTTTAATTAGGGGAGGGGAACAGTGTTGGGGAATTGGGGAGGGGGCCAGCCAAGTTGTTGTTCTTCAATCTTAGTTGTGGAGGGCGCCAGTCGCCATCTGGTCTCTAAGCTCAAGGTGCTCTGTTCAATCTTAGTTGCGTGTGGGCATAGCCACCATCCCATGCGGGAGTCGAACCGGCAGCCTTGTAGTTAAGAGTGCATGCTCTATTTACTGAGCCATCCGGGTGGCAGCTCAGCTCAAGGTGCTAAGTTCAGTCTTAGTTGTGGGTGGGCATAGCCACCATCAAACAGGCAGTCTTGTTGTTAGGAGCACGTGCTCTCACCAGCTGAGCCATCCTGCCACCTGTTGGCAGCTCAGCGGCAGCTCAGCTCAGGCACAGCGTCACTGGCCTAGGTGGGAATGGAACCAGCGGCCCTGTTGCTCAGAGCTTGTGCTCTTAAGCTAACTCTTAACCAACTGAGCCGCCTGGCCAGCCCCTGAGCCAGCTCTTTTTGTGAAGCCACTCACTTCTTCATGTCTCTTAAATTTATTATATGATATACATACAATGGCCTAGTACTCAGCAATAATAGTAACAAACTACTGATACACACAATATGGATTGATCTTAAAAAATTACCGAGTGGGAAAAATTGGACAACACCAAAATACTGTATAATTCTATTTATATAACATTTTAAAATAGCAAAAACTAATTTATAGTGGTAGAAATAAGATCCAGAGCCCTCGGAAGGGGATGATAGAAATATTCAGTCTTGGGGTGTGAGTTACACAAATATAAGCATTTGTCAAAACTTATCCAACTGTAAAACGAATATCTGAATATATCACTGTATATAAGTTATAAACAATTAAAAAATGTTAACTATTACAGAATTTCCTCAGTACCATACAGCAAGATCTCTAAGTATAGGAAATTCAAGTTTCCTTTTCATTTTTATTTTTCTATTCACTTTTAACAGAACCAAGTGGTACATTTGATTTAAATGATTCATTTCTATTATAAGATCTAGAATAATCTTCCTGCTTCTAATACAGATAAAACCCTCCTTTTCTTTTTTCCATTTTATATATAAACTAGGACCCTGTCTTTTGAATTATGCCCAAAGAATGCAGAAGCGCTTCCATGTTACTTTATTGTCAAAACTGAGACTTCAGTGTCTACCTTAGATGATCTCGCAGACTTTTCTATTACTTTCACTTCATGAAACAAGACTACTGATAACCATTTTAGTTTTTTAAAAAAAGCTTACAGGTCAACTTTCTTTGCAATGGGCAAGTATATGACCATCTAGCGTTCACAAAAATTCACCATTTATAAGTTGTATGGCTAACTTTTCACCTGTGTACTTTGAGTGGTAATTTTTCTCAGCAGAGAATTGTTCAACAAGAGACTATGTCAACAGCTTAAAAATAAATTCATCGAGGGGCCGGCTGAGTGGCTCAGTNATTAGGAGGCTAAGAAGTAGCCCCTAAGGTGGGATTATAAATATCAAAACTGTAATGAATCTAAGAGACATTGCAAAGAAAAAACAAATTATATATATACACATACACATACACACACACACACACATGTATATATATGAATGAATGAAAAAGTTTGAGATAAATACCAATTTTTCTTGGTACAAATTTACGTTGAAATTGAAAATTAACTATTATTGTTTTAAGCATACAATAAAGAGGAGATAAAGTTAATGTGGCCATGAAGAAAATACATTTAGGTGGTAAATCATTGGGGCTGTCCCCCCCCCAATACTGCTGATTCTCCTTCTGTGAACACAGTAAAATTGCACTTCCTCAGTCCCTTGACGTTTGATATGACCATGTGACCACAATTAAATAGAAGAAATGGTGTGGGTTTCTTCCAGCTTTAGTTGTCAGTACACAACTTAACCAAAGCTAAGTCAGAATCTGGAAGGTTTTTTGTTTTGTTTTTATTAGACTTTGTTTCTGTGCATGTGTTTTGAGAGATTAGTGTCAAGGGCTTTCATTAACTAGCTTTTCTTACCTCTCTCCTCTCCATCCTGGGCTTTCAAAAGCACCATGTCCATTTCAAGGTATATGAACAGCAATAGTAATGCTATGTCTTGAACATGCCAGGTAACACTAAGGTATTTGTAATTGTTTGCATACATGTGAAACTGCTAACAAAGATCAGATCAGCAGCTGTACATAGATAAAGCAAACAGGCATAGGATAGGGACAGGCAATTTATAAAACAAATACAGGAAGAAAAAAATAACAAAATAACAATGTCTAGTAATGTTTTCTAAGTAAGCTATTTAGAAAAACTTAATGAGAATATTTTTGTGACTTCAGCAAAGATATGTCACATATTTCCTTATAACGAAAAACAAGTGAATATTGTAATACAAAAGTACACCTCAATCTACCAAAATGCTTCAGNAATAAAAAAATCTTTAGAAAAACCAACAAAAAAAACCTATACCAGAATTATGAAATTAATTTAATTGTCTACTGGAAACATGCTGAAAATAAGTAATCAGTAATTCAATATAATAACTAAACTGGATTTGCACATATACTATTATATTTCAAAAGCACTCAAATAGTACTGAATAGAAATTACTTAATAACAAATAAAAATATGGATTTAACAAACTACCTTTTGAACAATTTTAATATAATTCAAAGTTGAGTTTTGAATTCCAAGGGCTAATTTTTGAGTAATTTTCCACAAAATTATCAGCTGTTAGATGTTTTCTTTCAATGCATTTTTCCTTTATAAAAATGACCCAAATCCTCTAACATAGAAGCTAAAGATATATAATAACACAACCATGTATAAAGATAATATAAATGGAATTTGCCTGTTTGGAAAGAGAGTTTTTCAAATTTTCTATGGTTTCTAATTTGATTTTGTATGTTATATATCTAATATAACTATAGGAAGGGTTTTTTTAAAACTGCTTAAAATTTTTTCACTTTGCAAAATAGCTGCTTGGGAATCAAGGAAATCACAGTAAATGTAATCAGTTACGTTATCTCAAATATCTTACCCTTATTATATTTTCAAAGACAAAGGTTTATTTTAAAATGTATATATGAAAACAGAGCATGGAAAGTGTCTATCACCACCCCTAAACAAAACTAGCCTCCTAAACAAAGAAAAACACAAAGTAAACATTCCCATATGTTAAATATTTAAAATATCTTACCCTTATCAAAGCTTGCATTAGCACCTCTGTCCAAAAGGACCCGAACCAAGTCAACATTGGAAACACTG